TTACAAAAAACACATCATTTTGACATAATTGTCTTGACAATATGACAATATTGTCCGGTGTAAACCCTAAGTAAGACAGCTTAAATACGTCAGTTCGCTGCATGGAAGGTATACGATTTCCTGCAATTACCATATGTAGATATATTTATATATGTAGTAAAATAATGATATCTACTATCCATCTACTGTCATTTGCATTAAGTGTTTTGAAATGCTACCGAAGTGGCTTTTGTTGACGAACTAAAGTTCAAAAGGCTAAGGATTTTTGCATGCCGTCGTTATCATCAATGCAAAGGGATATAAATACAGATTTGAAATTTTATGAAGGAAACGAAAATTTTTTGAAATATACATACTACATGAGTACATATCGCCGTTTAAAGTACAAAACCGCGTATCGTCATTCTGCAAAACCGCGTAACTTATATTTGCTGCCAAAAATTGGATTTGCTCGCCCAAACTCTTGGCTCAAACCTTATCCATTCGTCCTGAAATATACCATCCAGAAATGCGATTGTATTTATAAAAAAGAGAACCATTTTGAAATGTGAGTGTTTTTACTATCTAGAAAATAATTTATGCAACCTCACATACGCGGTTTTGCATTTTGTTGATACGCGATTTTGAACTTTAAACGGCGATATGTACATAATATGTACATCAAAAGTGCTTAAAACAATGGAAAATGCATTCAACACGCTATAAAGTGGATCTTTTTTTCATCGCTACATGAGAAATGTTTTCAAATGATAAAGTTTCAAAAAACCTTTATTTTTAATTGTCCAAATCGAAAAGTAAATTTTTTTATTGAAAGTGCATTGCTCTACAAGCTTTTGATAAGTTTTATCTCTGTGTAATCAAATCTTGCAATCAATTTTTAACAAACTTCCATGAAATTTAAAATTTTACTCCGAATTCGAAGACAATGTAATATGAAAGATGAATCGATCTTCTAGGTGGCCTCTTATTTATGGTCCCATATAATTCAGTTTGGTCGGCCGCTGTGGTGTAGTGGTAAGCAGTGCGCGCTTCCACTCCGCAACGCCTGGGTTGAAACCCTGGTCAAAGCAACATCGCTAAAAATATAGAAAAAAGGTTTTTCTTGACAGCGGTCATCCCTCGGCAGGCAATGGCAAACCTCCGAGTGTATTTATGCCATGAAAAACAGCTTATCATAAAAATACAATCACTGTTGGCAACATCAAGTCGGAGTAGAAGCTCGGCCAAACACTAACATATGTGTAAGCGCCAATCTATTATTATTATTATACTTCAATTTGAGAACGTATATTACTTAAATGGAAAAAAGTCAAATTGTAGTCGTTAGGTGGTGCGATTAAACTTGGCTTAATTTTTTTTTGTTTTAGTACTTATTTTTCTCTTAATCACTTCGTTAAAAGTCAGTTGTGACCCAGCCTATTTTTAAGTTGAAAGTGTTTAAAATGCAAGAGCCTTTGAAACCGGAAGAAGTATCAATTAAGTGTAGTAACAGCAAAAAAGGGGATCTATAAATGCTTTTCTGTAGTTTGGTAAATTGGTGTTGATACTCGATACAATTTTTAACTCTGAGCATTCGCTTTAACTTATTGTTGTAAATTTGGCAAATCGTATTTTTCAACAGCTGTTTCGTTACGTGTTGTGTGAAAAAAATTTAGAAAAAACACTTTTTTCTTAGCTAGCTTTATTTCATTTTCCTTTGGTTTAAATAAATTCTTCGTACCAAGGCATATTAAACAGGTAGTATGAGTAAAATAATTTAAATCGGCATTTAATCATTATTTTGTTTGTTTTTCGCTTAAAAATAATATTTATTATTGAGTTTTATTTTTTGGCTCAACGAAAAAAATTGTTAGCTGATTTTTATTTTTTCGATCACAAATAAAGATTTTTTTATGATATTTATTTTTTTCGTTCAGTGATAATAATTATTAAATTAAAAATATGATTATCTATAAAATTTAAAAGATAATATATTTAGACGCAACTAACGGAAATTTCGAACTGAAAATTTTGGGACTTATTTCTTTTATTAGGATGTCGCTACCTTTCGAAAAGGATACGGCGGCAATCGCGCTGGTAGAGCTTCTGAGTTTTTTGAATGATCATTATTCTTAAATGAAAAATTAAACTCAATAATAACTATTATCTTTGAGCGAAAAAAACATCATAAAATAATCATCATTTTTATTAGAAAATGTAAAAATCAAGTAATAATAATTTCCTTTGAGTGAAAAAATAAAACTCAAATATTAATTCTATATTGGCGACAAAGGGTAAAAAGGGAAACTTGAAACAAATTTAAAAACTAGTATAATTTTTTACATAGACCAGTAGGTTAGCACAGAAATTAGTTTATTGCAGATGCGTCATCAAATTTTATTGAAGTACATAATTACATAAAACACTTTTATAGTTGCTTTTGTTTATTTTACCCCAAATAGTGGCAGGCATTGAGTTCCACACTTGTGTAGCATTCATGACAAACAGTCTAGTAGAGTTATTGTAAAAGTTCAGGTTGCTCCAGAAAATTTTAATAAAAGTACAAATTTATTTTTAAATATTATTCAGGTCCCAAATATTTGCTAATTCAGACGAAAATTACTAAAACTCTACTTAAATTGTAAATCATAATAAAAAAGTAGCAAATTATGGAAAATACTAATACCTATGGAGCAGCAAGAGTGTCATAATGAAAAATATCGAAAAAATCAGATTTAAGTTTACAGTTTACTACACATCTGTCATAGAAAAAATGAATACACGTTTTCATCTAATAAGATATTGTTAATCGATACAGCTATGCAATTTTTACACACCATAGAAATGATGTGGCGGTCATTTCTGCACACTTAGCTCATTTTGTTTTTTTTTTTTATTATGACACTCTTGCAGCAAATGAGCGATTTGCATGCACTCATTTATTAAAACTGCTTTCCAACAGCAAGTATGACATATTGTCTGTTTTTTCAAGGAAATTAAGTAGTAAAAATACTTTGATAAGACAAGATAGCATAGCTGAACACTCGAACCCGTGCTTGCTGATTGGCAATATAGAATATTACGCTGATTAGAAACGTATTGTATACTTATGTACATTTGTACTTACATACATACATAAATTCATGTCCACATGTATATAGTGCAGATTGGTTACTTCCATTTTGTTAACCGGCCTATCGAACATCTTGTAATCGAAAAAAAAATAAATAAAAATATCAACAAAAACTGAAACGGGAATTTTTAACGCTTACAATATCTTTGTTAGAAGCAAGCACCGAGAACAAAAGATATGATCGAAACTAAATGTCGTTCTCGGTGCTTTGTTCCCGAGAACGCTTCAAACCCAAAACCGAAATGAGAAAAAAACTGTCGAAAACGTTCTCAATCGGAATCATATAAGAACAAACCTCTGTAGAACGTTACCAAATAGAACAAAATGCGATTAGTACATTCGGGAACATTTCTAAGAAAACAAAATGCGAACAAAAGTCTCCGGAATGTTTTGGCAAAGAACAAAATGCGAACAAAAGTTTAAAGGAATTTCTATCGAAGAACAGTTTGGGAACAAAAGTTTCAGGAACTTTCTGATGGAGAACGAAACGGGAACTAATCTTCTCTGAACTACTCGCGAAGAAAGGAATCGAGAACGAAATGTTTTTCTTAGCTTTCCATTAGTTTGAAATTTAGGAATATTAAAATTAATCAAAAAAGAACTGAAACATAATTATGCAAGTAAAGGCAACGAAAGACTTAAGACACGAACTTTTCATACACAGGAAATAAAAAATTGTTCCATAAATGGATCTGTAAGTTGAAATTATGCAGCTTTCCTATGGCTTGGAATTAACAATCGTGGTTCTCACTGAAACGATGTTTCATCCCAACACGAAGATGCCCCGATCATTCTTAACGTAATGTTCTCAAAATGTTTGTTCTCGTTTTGTTCTCTAGCAGAACGTTTCCCAGACTTTTGCTCCTATTTTAAATTCTTCCTGAAAACGTTATCGATATTTTTGCTCTCATTGGAAACGGTGCGGAAAGTTTCGTTCTCTTTCTGTTCTTCTTGAGAATGTTCCCGAGAGTTGTGTTCGTATTTTATTTTTTAAGGCGGATTCATTGTTCTAGTTCTGAACTTGGTTGTTGTCGAGTTGCAAACAATATCATTTTGAATTGTATGTTGTAGTGATGAGATTTTGGCTCTTTCCACAAATGATTAATACATTAAGCCTAATCCATGATTTGCAGAAATTTGAAGGACTTTACGGGAAGCTGTTTCCGTACGACACCTGTCATAAAAGAAATCCTAAAAACATTTAATTTTTATGCCGTTAAACTTCAGACTTCGCCATTTGCTATTTTACAAGGTGGTAGGTAACAACATTCGATAGCTGCACAGCTGAATAATACACTGACCACCTGGGATCGGAGTTATTGGAAGTAATAAAAAATTATAGCCCACGTGCAGAATATAGTACCTTTTAGGGCCCTCTGAACTGATCGCGGAATATACTTTTTTTTTTACATTCTGTAGCAAACAATGTTTGGTATGTTTCAATTGATCTCAATACTAACCAACTAGAGGTATTCGCCTTCTTATAATTCGACAAGAATTCTGATGCAGCTGTTTGTTTCTTCATTCTCATTTTAAACTTTCCTTTGCATCACTAACGCCAATTGCACTACCAGAGGGAAATTTTATATTGTAGATACATAAAATTTTGCATGAAGAAGAAATAACCGGTTTGCTGCGAACAAACACTCTGACTTTGTTCTCAACACTGCCATTCGTGGGTAATTTACCCAGTATCTGTGTGCGCAGCGCGTACATATGCACTCACACCTGCATATAGCGTTATCGCACATTTCATTTGTATTCGTTTTGTAAATACGAAAGCTTTTTCCGCCTATGTTTTGCTGATGTCGACTTTGAATTTCACAACAGATTTGTGGAGTATAGAAACTTGACGTGCCGTCGGTGTTTTTCGTGTGTGAATTTTTAGATGACTTGGCTAGCCCTTGTGAAATTTAGTGCCACTTTATAAATTGTTGCTAAAGCCAACGTTTGGTATTTGCTCAGTAATAACTGAGTTTAGAGCAAAAATTTCGGTGTAGCGGCACATTAGGTGCAGACGCCAACAGTGTGCAAAAGGCTCTAAGCAAGGAGCGAAAGCAAAGAATTAAATACCTAAGTGCACAAAAAAAAAACAAACAAACAAAAAAAAATACATATAGAAAAAGTTGGAAAAGAAAGAAAAACATAAATCGCGAAAAATTAGCAAAACTGTAAAGGAAATTATCTACGTGTTAAAGTTTTTCGTTATTTTTTTGGTGGAATCTTCGGATTTTCACCGGATTTACACATAGTACATATAGTACTCGCTTAGTTTATCGGCTGACGTAGTTTCTACGTTTGCCGAGCCGCGTGTTTTACGCGCCAACAACAACCACAAGCACTAGCCGATTGGTTTTCTAGACAGTTTATGTAAGTTGAAAATTTTGCAATGCCTCTAGAAAATATCTATTATGAAGTTATTATTTAAAAAATATATTTAAGTACAGTTGCGAAAAATGTGATTCTATTTTGCTAAAATTTTAATTTGAGGTGAAAGTCCGTTTGGTTACGGGCCATTCATAACAAAACAAGTCTTTGTTGTTGTATACCTAGTATATGTGTGTACATATGTACATTTATACATATCCATATATGTATTTACATTTGTATGTCTAGTGAATGTACATATGTACATTTTTGTGGCATTTTATTAAAACAGCTTAAGTGATTTTAGAAGGTTTGAAGTTGTGTTGAAAAATAATAAGTTTTCCTGAAAACTGAATACTAAAACAAAAGTCTGGCACTTCTGAGAAAAAAGTTTGAAATTTAGATAAAATTATTTTAATTTTATTATTATTATTTTTTTCTACAAAGTTTTAAATTTGGGATTTTGTTAGAGAATGAACTCTATCTTAATTTATAATTCTTAAAAGTGGCAAACATAATCACTTAAAAAAGGGAGCGATTAATATGAACAATACTGTATACAAGTACCTAAATCGATATGGCAATTTTTCTATCAGCCGGGTGAGCACCTCGCCCATCTTGTTATAACCCTGCTCCCCCCTTCGCCCCGTTATTCCAAACTTTCCGGTACTTTTTTATAAACAATTAAATATAATAAATAAATAAATAAATGTTGTCAGCAATTTTAATTTTTGGCTTTTTTTTTTTCATTCATTTTCTGCCACACGAAATATGTTCGACGATTTTTTCATATGAAAGAAAATTACCAACACATTAAAAAAAAAAAATCCAAAAATCAGCGGTAAGTCCTAGCTAATTCAAACTTGCTTATACATACTAAAATTGAATGGACTACAAGACGTTTTTATTTATTTGTTATATTTAATAGTTAATAGAAAATGTTGCAGAAAACGATTTATTTCATTAAAAGTTTTAATTTTTGTCAGTAACTGAAAAATGGAAATAAAGCGTTGAAATTTTGGCACCATTTTTTCGTTTTTTGTGACCGATAAAGAAATTTTCGTTTTATCTGACACATTTTTTCACTCACTTTCTTCCACACGAAATATGTTCGACGATTTTTTTAAAATGTACACAGAGCTTTAATTTACCTTTCAGCAAAAGCTGGAGCAAATTTTTGTTATAATTTATTAAAACACCTAAGGTAAAGTCGCCCTTGCCCATATGATTATCATGTGCTAAGAAATAGTTTTTCGCATTTTCTGACAAACGTATTACTTTGAGTTGTGACTCTTTTGAAGACGGTGTGCGATATGTATGTATCTAGTTTGACCTTTAATCATGCGTTTTGTATCTATATTTTTGTCACACAGGTGGGACTTCAAAAATAAAATGTGATTCACAAGCTGAGTTCGGACCTAACGCCCTATTTGGCCTACAACAAATTCGTATGCACATCATTTTTGTGCATACACCTTAAAGCCATTTAAACGCTCCTGAGTATGTAAAATTGTATTGTATATATGTACCTACATACATATGTATGTGCATGCATAAGTGTGCTTGATTTAAACGTGCCCAAACGTTTACCTAGATGTTATCAGCACTTTTTCTTGGAATTCGCATACCAAAACACTATATATGTATGTATATACATATATACAGTACCATTCATGCAAATACGTGTGTATGTACCTATATACAATTTGAAATAAACTTGATTTTACTCTGTTCTTTCGATGAGTAATGGCGACGCAACAAATGGCCAAGTTGGGCCCATGCACAATCATGCCGATCATTGTTTTTATACACATGTACTACAAATGAAACGAAAGCTCTGTCATGTTATGTGGCGTAAACAATGATCGAAAAGCTTTTTTGCACTGACGCAAATTTTACCTACACACATCCATATGTGAGTATTCAAGTGAAAAGCTCATGGAAGCAAGCATATATTATGTACATACATGCATAAAGGTTTCAACCAGATATTTAAAATGAAAAAAACTGGCAATATATGTACTTAGACTTAAGAATATTTAACATAGTTATTAATTAAGTGTATACAAGTATTTACGTGTCTACATATGTCTGTACACGCACAAGCCCACCAACAACTTTCCAGCAGCCCCAATAATAACCAACACAAACAGATTATGACTCCATATGTACGTACATATGTCATTTGTGACTGTGTTTAAAAGCGCTTCCAGCTTTCCAGCTTTTGGCCGGTTGTTGTGAAATTCATTTTCGTTGAAGAGGCGACGACGATTAGCAAAACACTCAAAGCCTGTCCGCATTCCAGGCACCTTTATCTAATATCAGGGGGGTTTTTCCTTTTTCTCTAGAGTTAACTAATTATCAGCTTTTGATAAGAAATGTACGTAAGTATGTATTCATTCATATACGTGTTCATATGTAAATAAATACATACATGTACGTACATATACATATTTATTTTTATAAATAGACCTTACTAAATTATTCACTGATGCATAAATATGTACACGTACAAATATATCTGGCATCAGAGCATGCATGAACATGCCGATGTTTGTACCCATATACTCTGTAAGTATTTACATACATACATATGTATGTATGTCATTTGGTCATCCAATATTTCACCGGTGGAGTCCACCAATGTCCACCTGACAGCGACTTCATTGTAAGACTTGAGTAATATCACCAAAACTAACCTATTCGTCTTTCAATATGGTAGCAAGACCCGTTGTCACTGATGCGCCACTGGCCTGTGACCAAGCGCTACGCAAGTTAAGGCGAGTTCCACCTTTAGCAAGCTGGACCGACTGGTCCGCGTGAACAATACGGGAGCTATGGGCACCTATCCAACGGATGCCCTTGGTTTAATTGTGTATTCTGTTTGAAAAACAGGCCTGCTGGAGCGCCCTACGACTGCCGAATATGATCAGCAAGAAAATTTGGGATCTTCGGGGTCATTTGGAGGCTCTAAAGCCATTCCTGGATAATTCCGAGTATTCCTTAGCTACAAGGTTAGAATTTCTGAAAGGGACTGCTGTGAAGTGATAATAACTATGATTTGCGAAAGGTACCAAGCATGGTATACTGACGGATCAAAGATGGCCGACGAGAGTACTGGGGCAGGACCAAAATTCCAGAAAGTCTGCCAATTTATACATACCCAACTATATTCCAGGCGAAAGTGGGGCCAAATTAAATATTATGTGGGATAGTCGGGCAGGTTAAAAGGCCTTAGACTCTTTTAAAATGGCAGCAGGTTTGCGGAAAGCTGTACAACTTTTTCGAACCACTTGGTAGTTCACAATAGCGTAACGCTGTGGTGGGTTCCGGGACATGAAGGGTTTAAAGGCAACGAAATAGAAAGCTCTGTCGACATTGTCCGTGAAACATGGACTTAATTTGTTTTTTCAAATGTGCAAAGATATGCAGATATATATATTTATATTCACATAAGCGAATAGGAACTAAAAAAATAATGAAAATACAATGTTAATTTAGATAATGATGATTGAAAACACGCGCTGTAATTGCTATCACTATCTACACTAGGTTAGTTTTTGTAAATAAATAGCATGTAAAAACCAACGACACCTTTCCATGAAAAAGTGCAGAGGCAGCCATTTTGTAAGCAAATTGAGTATGACTGTATGCATATAATTAGATTGAAAAGCTTCATGAATCTAAAATTTTAGCAAACTTTTTGATATTTCCCACGATACAACAATTTTTAGAAGGTAATTTCACTTAACAATTTTTTACATAAACCGTGTCAGTTAAAACTAATTTGTGATGTAAGAACGCATCTGGGACTTACCTGTCATTACTCATGTTAATTTCGACTTTGCAATTTAATAGTAAATTGTTCTGTCAAGCGTTATACAAGGTCAGCATTAATATCACCGATGACAGTTAAGTCTTAAAGATCCACCTTTATATCAGAATCTCATTTTTGTGAAAAGTGCAAAAAGAGGGTATTGAATATAGGCCCTCGCTAGCTTAGAGTAAAAAGTTGCTAAGTCCACTTTTTATGAAAACTCATAGTTAAACATAGGAAGCAAGGGATATTAAAAAAGCATCGTTTCGAAAATGATTAAGATACTTGATTTATTTCTTGTCGTTTATATTCAATGAAAGACAAATTTGCTAAGTCAACTTTTTATGAAAACTCATAGTTAAACATAGGAAGCAAGGGATATTAAAAAAGCATCGTTTCGAAAATGATTAAGATACTTGATTTATTTCTTGTCGTTTATATTAAATGAAAGACAAATTTGCTAAGTCCAAAAGAGGCACAGAAAATCCAAAATAATACAAAATCTCTTTTAATACAGATCGAATCCTTCTTATTCGTATGGGGTTTTTTTTTTTTTTAAACGCGAAATATTGTACGCAAAGATTTGTGAAATACTTGAAGGAAATGGCTATAAGAAGTTTTTTCCCCTCCTGTACAATTAAAAAAAATTGGACTTAGCAACTTTTCATTCTAAGCTTGCGAAATATCGCTTGTAGCAATAACAAAGCGATATGAAAACGACTCGCCCAGGCGAGTTGCCTTTACTGAGAATACGAATCTCCTTTTTATAACTATGCTAACTAGGTTAATAAGTTTAGCTGTCAATACAAAATCCACAAACCAATTAACGAATTTAGTAAGACATATTACACTCATTAGCTACTGGCAAAAAAATTTAATTCGATGTTTTCTAAGCAAAATTCAGCGCTACAAGCCAGATTTGAACCGAACTGCCGCTTTTTCGGCCTTCGAACCGAACCGTTTTTTTTTTTATTTTGAAATGCCAAAATTTAACAAAGTTTGATTGCGATTACGATACAAAAAAAGATAATCCCTTACATTTATCTACCAGATTTCCTCAAATTTACAAAGATGCAATTTATGTTTGTACATTAGGGTGGTCCTTAAATGTAGAAAGCAATTTTTTACATCAGATTTCCTAAGCCTCAGCCCCTACGTCGATGCTACTATAGTCGAAGATATCGCATATCAATTTTGGTTTCAATTAGAGACGGTTTAGGCGTGTCGCACAGGGGTAAAAGTTCAGATTCCTCTACGGAGACTCAAAAAATTAAGATACATTTTTTTTTCATTTAATACCCAAAATCGATACTACCGAGGTCGAAGATATCACACATAAATTTAGGTCCAGATTGAAGTCGGTTAAGGCGTGTCGCACAGAGGTAAAAGTTCAGATTACCCTATGAAGACGTCTTAACCGACTCCAATCAGGACCAAAGTCTAAATGTGATATCCTCGACTTTAGTAGTATCGATTTTGGGTATTAAATTAAAAAACAATATTTTTAAAGTTTTGAGTCCATAGAGGCATCTGGCCTTTGACCCGTTTGCGAGACACGTTAACCGACTCAATCGGGACCAAAATCTATATGTGATATATTTGACTGTGTTGGTAGTATCGTTTTTGGGTATTAGATGAAAAAAAGATTAATTTTAATTTTTTGAGTCTCTATAGAGGAATCTGAACTTTGCCTCCTGTGCTGTGCGACACACCTTAACCGTCTCCAATCGAGACCAAAATTTATACCGATTGAGAGCGTGAGACTGGAAATAAAATGCTCATATAATTATTTTAAGGACCCCTCTAATGTACATACATATATTTTAAATCCTAGTTTTGGTTATACAGCATATTTCAATAAAAATTTTATTTTCTTTCTTTCTCATTACAGTCTGAAGGGAAACTGCATCTAAGGCTCTATTTAGAGACCGTTTAGAGGTTCCCCTACAATTTCTTTGTTTCTTTACAACAGTGAGTTAAAAGTAAGTAAACTTAAGTTGAGAAAAACGATTTGTATTCATACACATCCCATACACCATCTAAGTATTAATGTTTATTTAACTACTTATTATAGATACTTACTTATTATATTTATGTGCCGTTAATTTTGAAAATGGCATAAGTCGCTTCGTACCTCTGGTGCTTAAATGAACGGCTACTTGTGATCGAATGCATCTATAAACTAACGGCAAAACCTTCTACCTTTGGTTGATGAAGTCTAACGAGTAACCGACGTGTTCAGATGCAAGTAACCAACCGGTCATTTAAGCACAAGAGATGTGAAGTGACGTATGCTACTTTCAAAATAAACGGCTTATATATATTTACATATTTGTACTATACTTTTTGAATATAAATCATTTCTATAAATACGCAAACTGCAAAGATATTCCGTCTATTTAGATCTAATTAAAAATTTTGGTAACGGCACTCTAAATTTAAATTTTGCTAGATACGCTTCAATTGGAAAAACTGTATATTAATAATAGGGTGCCTCACGAAAAGTTACTGTTTTTTCACCGGAATTATAAAATCTATTATATTTTGGACTTTCTCCAAAATACTTCGGAAAAGTATTAAGATTTGCCTTAGCTGTGCCGGTGTGAAAACATATCAATTAATCTCATTATTTTCATTTAGTTTTATGCTCGTCATTATCTGAGGGGATATTTTGCAAAAAAAAAAAAAAAAAGATTTATAAAAACGAATTTGATTTATAAAAAAAAAATGTTTTCAAATCGATCCAGCTCAGGTAAATCTTACTGTTCACCCAATAGAAAAACAGTATCAATCTATATATTATATTATATAATATTTAAATTTAACACTACACCACAGCTCCACAGGCTAAACTTTATATCATGATACAAATGTCAAAATCTACATAAATTGCCAATGGAGACCCCCCTTTGCTCATGAAGGGCAATATACTCGCCATCTATTAGCGGCAATGAACTATTTAGTTTAACAGTCATATTTTCATTTGAAAGAAATCAGTTTTTGTGGTAACATCGTAGAATTTTTGATATTGCATCAAAAAAGAGGCACAGAACATTAAGAAATCAGCTTTAAAAAAATTTACATGCAAAATAATGGCTTTATTCATAATAAATACAAGCGATTGCAGCCGCATTGCAATCAGCATTTTAATTTAATTTAAATTTATTTTTAATGAATTTGTCTGCAATTTCTGTTCATACAAAATATGTAAAATAAAATTTCAATTTTTTTATATTCTAATGGCTTTATTCATAAAAAATAAAGTAGGTTTAAAGAGCTTTACAAAGTGACGTTTGCATACATTTTTCAGTTTATAAACCTTTTTTAAAGTTACTTTATTTTTTATGAATAAGGCCATAACAATTTAAGTATGTATACTTTATTGGATTATGTAATACATTAACAAATGCACAATTACAATTAAAAATACAGTAATATATTTAACAATTCTTATCTTATGGTGATTTCGTTTGATGTGACACTTAAATGGCATGCTTTTGCCTTCTTGCCCTTGTCTGGTTCACGCATTTCATAATATTTTCGTTTTAAATACCCATCTGATTTTCAGGGCAACCATCTCCCCTGACCAAGCTTCAAATGGCACAGAATGTGCCTTTTTTGCCTTACAAGAGTGGGACATTTTAAGAAACGAACATAAAATTGGATCACCCTTTACCTTTGAATTAGAAATCACCATTAGATAGGATTATACACTCAGAAAAGTCAGATAAATATATTTCTCTCAACACATAATTTGGTTATAGTTACATTATTTGGATATATACTTGGTTACCAATTCATGTGTTGAGAGTAACATTTTTAGCTGACTTTTTTCTGGATATAGTATTTGGGTTCCCGGCCGGCAATTTTTATATAATAAGTATGAAAAAAGGATTTGTTTATGTTTTGCTGGCAAATTTTTAGTTAAAATGTTTCGGAACACTTAAGTTACTTAAGAAGATTTAACTTTGAATTAAAAAAAAAAAATTAGTTTTGGTTGTAAAATTTTATACTTTTATTAAGCTTCTATTGAAAGGGTATCTCAAACTACACAAGGGGCCAGTTAATCGTTAAAATACTGTGAAATATTGCTAAGTTTTTGTCTGTCTGTCCGTCTTTCTGTCTGGAAGATGAATGAAATATAACAATAAGATTATCAAACACGCCGACATAAATTTTTTTTAATTACATACAAAACTCGGGGAAAATGCGGCTAAATTTTCATCGAAATTTTCAATTTGATTTCTTAGAAAAAGTACTGAATATGCACTTTTGTAGCCCATTAAATTTTAGTATAATAAAAATTACCGTTGATTTATTACATATATGTTTTTTTTGCTGACAGTGTTGCGTATATTCATTCATATAAAAAAGATTTTGTTCATGCGTTACATGGAAGGAATTTTTAGCGACTCTAAACTTGCACTTATTACACTAAAATTTAGTGGGCTATAAAACTGCTTACTCAAACTTTTTCTAGGAAATCGAATAGTAAAGTTGAAAATTTCATGCATTTTCCCCCCGAGTCCTGTACGATCTTAAAAAAAAATATTCTTGTAGTTTTTGCTGCTGAACGAACTATATTTTTATAAATTCGTCAAAACGTCAGAGTATACTTATTTTTGAAGCGCAACTTGGATTATATTTCATATCGGTATTTTACATTCATAAAAATAACCTTGCTGATATTTCCCTAATTTTAGTATAATATTTACAAGAAAATTTTGAATTTGTTATTTAAGGGAATTCACGAGATGTCGTAAGCTTCGTAATGATTTCAACCCGTTAAATTTTCCATTATAACATAACTGTTAAAATACTTTTAGGCGACCTGCAAGGTATAGTAAAGACGATTACAATTTCACTACTTAAAACGGTTTATGAATTTCTTAATTGTTAAATTAAATTGTTGAAGTGTTCAGGGTTATATGTAAGTATAATAGTTTAATTACATCGGATAACAATAATATTGTAGTATGTATTTAAAGAAATGTATACTGCCATTTAATTGTATAAGTTAAGGTTTATTTACAAAGCGCGTATCAAAAAACCATACAATCACGAGGTGGAAAAGGTTTACTTAATAAAATCTTGACTTTTTACAGTTCAGGGAAAGTTTCGAGATCCTAAAGATTTTCGAACTTTTTTCCACGCAAAGAGAATACCGCCAATGAGTTGGCCTAAGTTTGAGAGTTCGTGTAGGTATTTTTAAAATGGTATCATTATATCTACCAAATACCACTTTACGTATCCTTTTTTTATGTTTGTATATACTACATGTATGTATAAGTCCGTTTGTCCACACAAATCCATGTTCATCAACTTCAACGAAAATGAAAATACATACATATCTATGTTTTTCTACATATTTCGTCTTTTTTGAATCTTTATTAATACTATTTTTTCTCTTTTATCTATTTTCTTCCATATCGAATTTGCGTTTGCTCCACTCATACAAATTATATAACCTGTCAAATCTTGGTGTTAATTTGCGCGCACACAAATAAATAATAAACTGAATCCCATCTACAAAAATATGCACTTGAAAATGTGTTTGGTGTTGAATTGAAACCAAAAAAAAATATATATATACTATATATATGTATATCTAACTAAATCGAAACTGAAATCGAAATTCATAAACGAAAAATTGAAATGCGTTGCGTATTGAAATGTCTTGCTGTTGTTGCTATTATTGTTGTCCTATTACTAAAAATAGCCCTGTTCAAAATGGCATCTTTCAACGCAACCCAGACTTGCCAATCAAGGCCCACAAGCGAATCAAACCACAACAACAAGAACATTTATACAACCGACGTCAACAACAGCAGCTACAAGATCACAAAGGATTACGAATACGGCAACACGAAACAAGATAATATTGACGATCCAGGAGCCACGCCAACCATTACAAGCGCACGTTTACGAGGCCCCAACGAATTTGGCTTGCACGCACCAGCAAGAGGAGCCCCAAACTCTAGCAATTCAGCTGAAACCATCGCAAAGATTATTGGTGATAACAGCAGCGCCCTCTACTGGGCAACCGAGAATCGTGCAAATTCGCCCGCAACAACAGCGGCAACAGCAGAAGCAGCATACGCAGCAAACCCAGAAAACGCAAGCGATAAGCTTACCACAGATCCAGAGAGCGCGCTTAGCAGCAAGATCAAACAGAATAACAAGTTCTCGTGCCTCAGCAATCAGAGTACCCTTTTTACCAGGCTCGCCGTCAACGCCGTCTGCAGTGAAACAGAGTTCGCTAACAAAGAAAAACTCAAACTTGGTGACTTTAACATCCCCGCTGCGAATAGAAGGTCTACCGACAAACAATCGAAATTCGATTACGCAATTAACGCAAACGCAAAGGCAAACGCCAGTTGTGACGGATTCGGCAGTCACCGACACCGTCTACTATACGACAGTGTTACATTCACCATTTCATACTCAGAATCAGGATCTGAGCCAAAATCTGAGCCCGAACCAGAGCCAGGATTCGGAGATAATATTGAACTCCGCAGAGAATACAGCAACAAGCAATTATACGAAATTGTGTGCGCCACAGCAGCAGCAACAATCGTTGCATACATCTGTGCAATTTTCGCAAACGCAAACGCAAACGCAAACGCAAGCACCAAGAACACTCGCCACAATGGCTGGGATTCAGTTGACAGGTGCCGACGAGCATGTGTCCCCCTCGTCCATGAGTGGAGCAACGCCTACTGCTACAGTTGAAGAGATAAATGTTCCGGTATTCATAGATGGTGAGTACTGTGTTTTGGATGAATGTAAAGGTGTTACGACGCGTGTACGCAAACCGAAATGAACCGATGCAAGTGTAAAACTGAAATATTACATACCTACATACATACATACAGATGTAAGAAATAGTTTCCAAAACGATAATATAGCCCAACAAAAAATTCTAACAACTGCATGCAGCGATTACTAGCTCTAATATGGTTATTTCCGTACAATCAGAATTGGCCCCCGTCAAATTATTTAATTGGCTCTAGATTTTTAGATAATTGGATTTTAAAGTGTCAAAAACCCTGTCACTTTTTGAACTTCGAAATGTAGATATGTACATACAGCCGTGGAATATAATCTTAAGAATAGTAGAAAAGGAAGCTAAAATACTGGACTTTTTGCTAACCGCATACAAGTAAAGACTTAGGGTGGTTAAACATAAGGCTTTAAAACTTTTTTGAAAAATTATAAGTTTTTCATATAAATTCACTTAAATTTTGTACTACGTACTCAATCGGAAAAGTAGTAATGCATTACATGCTTGATAAATAATATAATGTATTTCTTACGAATTCTCGATTATATTACTGCTAACTATGTAATCAGCATTTGCAATTGATTCAAAAAGTTCCAAAAATTTCATATTAAAACACATTCACTTGTCGATACTAGGTAATGCAAAATTGAATGCCCCTCTTTTCTTAAAACATCGCCCTGGGAAAAAATGCATTTTCGAATGTGAAAAGGGTTGTTTTACTGATTATTTTTTCGATTACTATACATTACATTTCCCCACTGGGTAGTTACCATTTAGGAGCCCAATTTACCTGTAAAATATTTCAATTTTTTTTTTTAGTAATTGGAGAAGTGTAAGTTCGCTTTAGTTTTGTACCTTTTGACCACGAAATTCTCACGCGAATTCGATATTCCTGAGAATGGTATCACTGATTTCGAGTTATTTTATTTTATTTTGGTTTATTTTATTTTGGTTTATTTTATTTTGATTTAGAATTATTAAACCAAAACATAAAAACAAACAAAAACCAAACGCAGCACTAACTACGAATGCTGATAGCATTTCTCCCGCCTTCGTGACGGGAGATTTTTTCACGACGGGATTTCACTAGGAATCTGTGATAGTCCTGAATATTTCAAATTGCATGCGCCACATTTTTGAATTTAAAAAAAAAGAATAGAAATATTGAAAACAAATTCCCTTTGTGACTAATGTTTGCGGAGTCTGATTTCTTATCTTTTAGGATAAGTGGGCAACATTTAAGTTTTCTTTTTATGCTAATCAAAAGATATAACATTACATCATTCTTATATAAAGTTCAAAAGTTGCTAAATTTTCGTTTAAGACACATTTAATCCCAATTATCTCGAAAACTGGGGTCAATTGAATAATTCAAAAGCCAAATTTTTAATCTACGCAAAAACTACAATTGGAATGAGTTCTCAAAACCGCTGCTGCAAAATTTTGTTGGCTAGCATAATTATAAATTATCTAATGATTTTGAATAGAGAAACATACTTACCATATATAATATAGTATACATACAGACACATATTCAACTATATATTTTACCACTTAGTATATTGTACATATTACTGTACATACTTATATATATATGTATGTATGAAAGCATATACATAAAGGAAGCACACATGTAGTATGTATGTATGTATGTATGTATATAAATACTATAAGTATGAATGTGAAAACTCGCCCGGTTCACTGGCATGGTTGGGACACCAAACGTCTGTGCCTAGCCGAGCTGGTGCTGCGGCGTTGCGGCTATCCCGACCCATATGCCGACTTAGGTGGTACGCGATGGTAGAGCACAGTGCAATGACCCAGGAAGAAAACCTTGGAACAGTGGCGGCGCAAGAGAGCAGTGAAGGTACAGAAAAGCAGTATTCACACCGACTATCAGAGTTGGCGGTTGTGAAGTTAGCAGAAATTCATTTTTTTACATACCTACTTTTTGACGTTATTTTGTTAATTAATTTAGGTTTACTAGGAATTGAAATGATTTCTGAATTTTGCTGGTAAATTAAAGCAGAAGTAGACTTATCTGACTTTGTTATCCAACTAAATGAAAAGGAGCGTTAGTTCCACAATAACAAAATGTACGTGAGAGCTTTGTTTCTTTAAATTGTTTTACATTTCGTATGATTTGAAATCGGTGCGATTTTGAAAATTCTTTTCCAAGACTTCTAAAGAAACAGACAAATGTTTGACTTTAAGGGCCAAATTCACAGTGCATAATTAACTAAGAATCGGCAGTTAACTACAGATTTTTGGCCATAGATCGACGATGATGCCGTTACTGATCGTTTTTTTTCAGTTTTCATTTCAAATATTCATTAGCCTCAAAACAAATATGAAAACCTTTTTTACACGTCGCACCGATTTCAAATATAATTTTTACTTTATTACAGGAATCGATAGACCTTAAGGTTATTGGCAAGACCACTTAAGGTTATTGGAAACACCACCTTAAAGAAAGTTATTGAACAATGTTTTTTTTTTTTTTTTTTTCGGATAATGTAAATATTTTTTAGACACACTGAAAAAAGATCTAAATCGTCTTTTATAGCATTTTATTTGATGGCCAATTTTTATACAGAAGATAATATCTTATATTATAACGTTGTAAAGGTATTCAAAAATTATATCATTTTGATAGACAGTGGTTTACAAAACAATAGGAGTACGCCATTTTGACAAGTCTTGACTAGTTTTCGTAAGTTTTTTTTTTAAGTATAGCTCATAACATAGCAAACACCATATGTCTAAATCCGAATTAAAAGATTTCTACGAAAATAACAAAAAAACACAAATTTCAAAAAAAAGAGTATCAAAATTTCAAACTTGTTGATCATAATTAAAAAAAAAACTTAGTAGTGGAAAACATTTTGAGGTTATTTTATATGGAATAAAATACCTATCACCACTAGCAAAAAAAAAAAGCTATCAAAAACCAAACTGGCGCTTTATTAACTATTCTGAAATAGAACGTGTTATAAAACTGCATAAGTACTTGACTTCTTTAAATTCTGATTAAAATATTTGAATTTTTTGATGAAATTTTGCTGGAATCTGTTGAACTTTCTTAATTTGTGTACGAAGTTGGAAATTTATGTGTTATTTGTTATATAATGAGCTATATTTTCATAAAAAATTAATGAGCATTAAAAATACAAAAAAGTCAAAACAAGCAATAAGTCGCACTTCTATGTATGTTAAACGTCAATATTTGGAATGTTTTCTATTGGAAATTTAAATTTTGGATTGCACTAAACTAGTCAAGTCCATAACAATGACCACGTATCCAATTTATTTGCTCAGTTTTTCTCTTAACCACGGGCACTATAGATGAGTCATGTTTCGAAGAAGACAATTCTCTATACATACCTACACATATACATACATATGAATATATCCAGCCAGCAGAGAAACGTACGTTCAAGGGCAGTGCCTTTTTCGTACATTTTTCGTATACGAAAACGTACAGAAAACGTTTTCAATTTTCGTTCATTTTATTTGTTATTTGTAGGCAATAACTTTAAAATAATTACTCAAACTGAACATTTGAAAACATACACACACAAACTTATAGTGCTTATCATAACTAATTATGTTTTTATAAAAGTAGATGTACATAGTTCATTCTTCAACACAAATGGTATAAATCCAATTTTCAGTATTTGTACAATGTTAAAATCTTGAAAATTTCGAGCTTTATAATTAGATTTCTTATAAAGACCTTGAGTATGCTGTTGTAGCACATTAATTGTTGATTTTTGGCAATTTTTTATTGTTTACGATGCCAGTCATTTTCTTCCATGCAATGTATGTTCGAAATTTTTTTTATATGGAGAAAATATGCAAAACCTTCAACAAAACAGGTCCCAAAAATCAACGGAATACATAGCTACTCTAAACCTGCACTTTGTTGCACTAAAATTGAAAGGGCTACTTTTGTATACCTTTTAATACTACTACTACTTTGTGTAGTAGGCTACCTTTAATTAAATTAAAAATACTCAAAATATTTCTAAGAAATCTATTTAAAAAAATGTTTACGAAAGTTTGTTGATTTTTTTAAATGTTGCACGAAGATTGAAACTTGAGTTTATATGGTTTTTGAGAAATAACAAACTATATTCTTATAGACAAATAATTAAAATTAAAAATAATTAGTCGAATCTTGTCAATATGTGGGTATCGTGTGAAGTTCTGCTAAGCACTGTAGTTGAGTCTGCAGAGAAGAATGCTATTTGCTAGCTTTCAGGACAACAGAGGTTCAAATGCCGTTATATTACGGTGACCATCCGTCCTTTATTTTAAAGGACAGTCCTTTATTTAACCCCCTGTCCTTTATATTTTTTTTTTTCAAAATAAAGGACGCCTTTTGTCCTTTATTACTTAAACTGTCCTTTAAATCGGCTCTGCACTTTTCAGCGGAAAATTTTAAAACGCAGAATATGAAAAATAAAAATGTCCCTTATAAAATATAATGAAAACATTGGTCAGTTTTACAATCTATAAAGCACAGGGCAAGTTGTGCCCAGGATCGTCTTTCACTTCATTTGATTAACTTAATTTTTTTTTAAGAAAGCTTACAATATTTGCAATAGACCAGTTGAGCCTGATTTCTGAATTTTTATTTAATTATATTAAATTTTTTTGTGCAAAGTGCAGAAAAAGTAGCAGTTTTGAAGAAAATGTTCCAGTTAATAAATGTTACATAACAGAAACTAGTGGGAAACAATTGTATAGTTCACTAAAAAAAAATTAAAAAAATACACAAAAAAATGTTAAAATGTTATAAAAACATGTTCAACAAAATATTTTTTTTTTTGCTTTTTAATAAAAATTGGTTGAAAAATGGAGGCTCCGGTGGATTATGAACATTAGATTCCAATTTTGAACCACTGTGTGCTGGCTTAGTCGCGCAGAATGAATTATGATAAACGCATTTTGGTAGCAAGGGATTGCGAAATC